AAAGCCTTTCCCATGAAACTTCTACCAGCACGCCCTGTATGAAGCTGATCGAGTCCTGTTAAACACGAATTCAAAGATATTTTTCAGGAGAATGGCTGGTGTTTAAACGGTAAAAAGACCAACTTAAACGCATTTCATCTTATTNCCAATAAATACGGTCACCCCATGAAGCACCAATACTACAACCACCTTTACCAAGCCATGTAGACTGTTCGCAGTCCGCTATTTTTCCGCAAGCCCTTCGAGATCGAAGACTTTGCGTTACCGGCGGCCATCTTCGACCAGTGTCAAATCTTTTTAGGGGGCGGGGATCGGTTTGAGAGGAGGCGAGAGAGATTTAATCCCCGACTCCCGCCCCCTCGGTTACATTTGAAAGTGGAGATGGCCGCCATTAACGGTAAGACGCGCTATATCTCGACGATCTGACGGAAAAATGGGGGACTGTGAACAGTCTAAAAGCGATGCCATTTAAATTGCTGAGACCTGAAGAGACCTTAGTACGTTACTTACTAAAAACAATGAGGAGTGACAAAAATGATGATGTCAACAATCACATTGCTGAACATCATTTACAGACGAACCATAGAATCGGCTGGGATTGTGCGATATGCATGACGTATTCCGCAGACTTCTAATATATTAGCCGAGGCTGAAAGCGAAGCCTCCTTTTGTATACTCAATCAAATTTGACCTAACAAGCTCTAATCTATTAAAACATATATTCAAACCCTACTTAACTTTAGGAGCCTTCGGCATCAGTTTACCTTTAGTGGGAGGGGTTAAATGATTAAGTAAAAATAACCAGTAAACACACCCGGAATGAGACAACAACAACAACAACAACAAAAAAACAAAAAAAAGAAGCGCCCTCCCAGCAAGCTGAAAGGTGGATATTTACTGCAAAAAACAAAAACAAACAAACAAACGAAAAAAAAGAACACTCAGCGTCACAGCAATCACAGTAGTAAAATTCGTTGAGTCGAGGTGTTCGATATAACGAACAAATTTCCAGAGTCTCTTGGCACTTCGCGTAATCGAGGTTCCACTGTACTACGTACTATACGGACTGTGCGATAATACTTTATTTAAAGCCTTTCCCATGAAACTTCTACCAGCACGCCCTGTATGAAGCTGATCGAGTCCTGTTAAACACGAATTCAAAGATATTTTTCAGGAGAATGGCTGGTGTTTAAACGGTAAAAAGACCAACTTAAACGCATTTCATCTTATTTACTGAAAAGATGCCCAACTAAGCTGATACGGTATGAACTCGTCTACGAAGTGTGAACATATGTTTTGCTACCTCGATTTTTGCTTATATCTTAAGGGTAATATTCGCTAGGATTAATCGCTTCCATTTTCTCTCGAAATTTATCGCAAAAAGCACTTATAGACTCCTAAAACGGCTGTTAAAAACACAAACCGATAGAAATACTGCTTTCTAGGCTTAACTGCAGAATATCCTGCCACTTTAAAGCAACCCCTAAAAACAGGTGGATACGCAGATACTCAGTCACTACGTATCTGCGTATCCACTTTGTCACTTCGATCCGCGTATCTGCGTATCTACTTAGTAAAAATCCATTAAATAATAGTCACTGCGTATCCGCGTATACACTTTGACATACACTTAAAACAACGTATAAAGCTGATAGTGTGTCTATTTGACGTTCTTAAAGCCACTGACTGGTAAAAAAACGCGTATAAAAGGGATAACGGCGTATCCACGTATTCAGCTCTTTCAGGGATACAGCTTCGAAGGGGCAGGATATTCTGCAGTTACTCATATGACCAAAGCAACATACACCCTGTGGGGTGACCATATGAGAGATTATATGGACAGGCGGGTTACCTGACCTACCTGGGGTCCCCCACCTCCATGTAAACAGGCCCTTAATTTTAATGTCTACATTGACGTGGATAACACAGAAAGAGCTAGAGCGAGAGATAAAACACTACAAAGGAGACCAATTTTGTTGGAATAAAAACGCGAAATTTTATAACGGCAGTGAGAAAATGAGAAATGCTGCCGGCCACCAAGGTGAAAATGAGCGGCAATGAAAAAAAGTGAACAGAAACAAGTAAGTTTTATATTCAGATCTGATAATAATTTTTATCCAAATACAAAGTGCAAAAACGGGTCCACAATCGTGGATTTTACTTGGTTATTCTATGAATGACCTGATAATGGGTTTTTCGTGTTTCTCTATTTAGGAACGCTTTGCCACAGTATTTACACGGCACACGAATACCAGCCATGTAATTATGTACTTCTTTACAGATGTGATCATAGTCATTACTTAGGATGAATTGGTAGCAATTTTCCTTGTACCGTTTTTCATCTCTCTTTGAGCATCTGAAATGGTCGGAGATTTAAATTCAATACAAAGGCCATTATAATCTTTGTGGTGGTTAAGCACCATCAGATCAGGCTGACCTTTGGTATAACCCTTTTTCCAAGAGTCAGTTCTTTTGAATGGAGTATCTTGGTTTTCCGCGAGTCCTGCTACAATAAGAGCATCTGGATAATAGTTTCTGATTAGGTGTACAACTTTGCAGTGTAGATCTGTCTCATTTTCAATCTTAAACATTTTGTTATTTGGGTTGTTGAATAGTTTGTACTGACCATATTTTCTGATGGATGGAAGCACTTGTGTGAATACCCAATCCTGGAATTTTTTATCGGCTTCTAATTTTGAAGCAAATACAAGGGAGTAAAAACCAGGTTCTGATATAAAAAAATTGGTGTCTGACCTGACCGCCCATTTTGGTTGGGTAGCTTCTCTTGTATTTTTGATCCTCATGTTGTTCGATAGCTTTATCGGTATTGACATATCCGAGGATTTTGGCAACATCTTTACCTCAGAACTAAATATTTTGCCTGGTATCTATATAAGAAGCTAGCTCAATTTTTAATTCATCATTAACATATATTTTTTCCAGCATCATTTCTCTCGTAATATAGTATATATTAATATCTCTTTAAACTATTTAGTCTTTTTTCTCCTCCTCCTCAACTTCAAAGATCACTCCTAGGACACCTGTTAATGACATCTCTACTGTTTCCAATTTTTTGGAGATTAATTTTTTATGACGTAATGTGGCAATCTCTTCTTCCAATTTTTTGATTTTAGTGAATAGTTCATTGAGTTCAGTTTCCTTATTACGGATTTTGGTGTTCAATTTTATTATATGATCGTCCATTTATACTATTAGTTAGATAAATCTTGTAAACTGCTCAGTGGGATCCAGGAATTAAAGTCGTCGCTATAACCCAACCATTTCACAAGAGCTTGTTTCTTCTTGTAATCTCTCCGAATGAATTTATCAATGCGGAATATATCTTGTGTTGCCTTAAGTAATTCCGGTTCATAAAAGCTCCCTGTATTTACTCGTTGTTGAGATCCTTTAACCTGTAAGTGATTGGATTTTATTGACCAGGAATATCTCTTCAGTCCAATTAGGTGTATAGACTTTGTAAAAAAAATTCTTTTGTACTTACTTATCCTGACTTTATCGCCAACCTTGAATTTGGGTTTAGATAACAATTGCTCCATATTGCCATATAGATTGAAATACACGGTACTTTCATTCCTCTTTTTACTGGCTTTTTCAGGTGTCATTTTAATGGTACTGTGCTTGGTGTTATTATACTGTTGTAGTATTTTTGGTAGTATAAGTACTGAGATATTGGGTATTACCCAGGACAGTAAATTGCTTCCTCATCTTGGTTTTAATTGTTCTATTCCATCTTTCACAATCACTAGATTTTTCCTCATTCTCGGTTGAGTATAGTGTTATGTTATCTTTTTCCAACAGTTCCTTCATGTGTTTGTTATAATATTCTTTCCCTTTATCAGTCCATAGATATTGTGGTTTACGGCCTTCTTTGAAGATGGTTTTGAAGGCTTCTGTGACAGTTTCTCCTTTTTTATCCTTTAACGGGACAATCAAACCATATTTGGAGAACAGATCTAACACCATGAGAAGATATCTGTCACCCTTGTTTCATTTGCTCAATGGTTGCAATTCAACCACATCAGAGCACCAAATTTTGTCGATACCGTTTCCAATAACACACCGCCGAGTAAAGTTGCGCTTTATGGGTTTATATAGTTCATCTGTTAATTGCTGTTGCCAGTTTTCTTCACTCGACGGCTTTTTTAGTTTAAACCGGAACCAAGTTTTCTTTTAGCCTTAATAATAGCCTGAACAGCTGTAGTACCCCATGGCCGATATTTGTACGGTATTTTTGAGATTTCATCAAGCATCTCATCATCTGCTTTATGTTTGTCTTATAAATTTTGTGCTTTACTGTATGCGATATCATGTTTTTGGCAAATAGCATCAAGATTATTTATTGGATCTGTTTTTTTTTAGGATCATTTGAATTTAAATGTTCTTCTTATTTTGTCCCAGTGCCGCAATAATTATATTTTTTCAAAGTTGGTGGTCTCATATGCAATTCTCCAAGTTTGATAAATGTTTTTGAATATCTATTCCACTACCAAACCCTTTAAGTGTATAAGTAGGTTTATGAGCAGCTCCAATCTTTTTTGCAAAGCTTGTGTAAGAACCTTTGAAGCCCAAGTTTTTAGCAGCCTCATAGAGAATTTTTAAGGCTGCCACACGTTGCTTCATATCAGCAATTTCCTGCTTGCTGGGCGTTTTCCATAGCTCTGGATTTTTTAACAATTTGAATCCTGTTGTAAAATCCAAATGCCATTGAGATCCTGCTACACCACTTTATGTAAGCTTCTCTTTGGCCTTATCTAGGGTGCCAGATCCTTGTTGAAAAATATGTCCTAAACCGAGTGTTGATAAAAATTGCTCCAATGTTCACCCATATCCAAATAATTGTGCTTGTTCCCAAGCATATTTGGCAAGCTCCAGTTGATATATTTTGTATTTTGGGGGGTCTGTTAAAATATTATTCACTATTGCTAATAATTGTATAGATCCACCTTCCAGTCTTTTCTATCAGTTTTGTACTTTTTATTTGGCCTAATCTTTGTTGACAATTGATCAAGAGCTTCAGACCCAACATTTTGTATTACTGGTGTGAGCTTTTTCAGTCCATAATTTATGGCTTTCTTCTGTAACTTTTTGTTTCTCAAAGCTTCGGAGCCATAATATCTACCCATTTCTACACTCTTTTTAACCATATATGGAAGACCTTTCTTTATTAAGAAACCTACTGCTTCTCCTGCCATCTCACCGCTCCCAGCTTGCCTTTTGATAAATTTTGTTTTTGTTATTCACATTCAGCAAATGTACATTTCATCATTAATCGGCCATTTTTGGCTGTAACAATTTTTTCACTACCTGACACACATTCTGTCTGTTTTTTCTGTTTTACACAATATGATGTCGTCATTTTATATTAATACATTGTATATTATATTTGCATTTAAGAGGTTAATTTCATGAATTTATTTATTTTTTTACTGGCCTTCATCATTGAATCCGTTAAATAACTACACCCTGCTTGCCCTTTGATATATTTTGTTTTTGTTATTCCACATTCAGCACATTTACATTTCATCATCTTTCTACCATTTTTGGCTGTAACAATTTTTCAGAACCAGGCACGCATTCTATCTGTTTTTTTGTTTTTGTTTCACACAATAAGATCTGTCATTCTTATATATACAATATTTATATAAAAATGGAGGTAATAAAAGTCGTCTGGGACCTGACCTAACGATTCGTTAGGGTAGGTTTTTCTTACATTTTTCGGGTACATGTGTTCAAATCACTGAATGGAGGTAATTAATATCGTTTAATCACTGTCTGATCCACAACCAGGCACATAATTGGAGTCTCCACTTGAGCTATCCGACTCATATTCACTTTCACTACTGCTTAGAGACTCACAGTTGCAGCACTCAAAACATCCATATTCATTTACATAATGCGGAGTAACTTCTTGACAATATACGCGGAATTTTTCTGACGTTATATATATATGGATTATTATATTAATTTTCAAAATATTTTTCTATAAACCGCTCATTGTTATTGGCATCATTGATACTGAACCTTTGCAGAATGTCATAATAGTCCTCTGCAAGTGACCATCTCTGTAAGAAAGAAATGCAATAATACCCGCATAAAACACTTTTGATATGTTGATATGGAACTGTATTGTAAATCACTTTCATACTATCCTTTTTTGGCTCTTACCTCATATTCCTTAGGATAGGGCATAACGAATGAATCAAAATACCATAAAATCTTTTTATTCTCATGTGATGGTGCACAAGCTACCAAATGGGTTCCTGTATTCTGATAATCATCAAGATTGATAATACATGGGCTATGTTTATTTGGCATATACGTATTTCTGCTAATGATACCCTATTATTTTAATGTCCAGATAATTACATCAATTTTTAAGATCTAAGTTGGATAGTGGTATATTTTTGAATGGAAGTTTTAACAGGATTGTTCCTAAGAGCGAAATTTCGTTGAATGGGCTGTTTTTCCTAGTAGAAGGCCGCTTGCTATTTGAGGTCTTTTTTTAAATCCCATTCCAACAGGATTCTCCCATGTGCCTATAAAAGGAGGCGGTTGATAAGGCATTAAATATCCTGGTTTCTGAGATACCTGAAGATCTTTACCGCCACTGGGTTTTCTCAGGGTACTCAATCCATGACCACCTCTGGATTTGGTACTCAATCCCTTTCCAAATAGTTTCGAAGCTAATTCAATTGCTAGAGTGACACCTATAAAAAGCAAGTATTGCTCCTAAAGCACCTCCTTCTATTTGTTTCCTTGTTGGCCTTATAACCAACTGACCCCCTGTTTGCAAGGAATCTAAAATCTGTTTCTTCTGATCAACGGTTAGTAAATGCCTGTATTTGATCAATTGTTCTATTTTATTCTGTGGAATTAAAAATCCTTCCTGTTGAACACCTTTCCCAAAAATCTTGTCTATTCCCAGGTTTCCTAAAGCGCTCATCGCACCTGTTGCTAATACTGGGACAGCTTTAGAAATGGCTGAAGTAGCATGGGGAAATGCTCGTGTTCCAAGTGAATTCAGGCTAGACCACACAGATCCGCCTTGCTTTATTGCTTTTCGTAGTTGTGTTTTTGATATTTTAGTATCTGAACCCACACCTTGGATCTTTGCTTTTTTCAGTTTATTAAGCTGAGTTTTCGTCAACATCAATTCATCTGGGCCAGACAATTCATTATAGGCAAGTCTGATTGTTATAGCTGAATTATTGTTGTAAGCGCTTGATAGTTTTTGTAATTGTCCTTTGCTAAGTGACACACCATAAGAATGATAATTTACTTGTACATAATATGTTATATAATTTAAGCCTTAATTAGTAGTTTACCACTGGAGGTATACAACTCTATTTCTTTTTCATGCAAAACAAGGGCGTTCAAAATGTAGTTAGTTGCACTGGCTCCATTTAGTTCATATCGGAAAGTCAGCGATACAACAGAGTTTTTGGTATCTTCCTCTTGGTTTCTTAGGTCGAAAGAAATGATTCCAATCGGGTTCTTGAAATGATCCACTCAGAAAGTCATTGTAACCTGAATTATAGCTAATGAGTGCTCTGTACAATCTACTCTCTTCATTAGCTGATAGTTCAAGTTGAGGGTAATAGATGCTATTGTTTGCTTCCATTTGTGCTTTGCTGAAATATCTGGTATTTGCACCTGTACTGAATGTTTTAAAAGTGAAAATGTTACGTTCCTGGCTGATTTATGAAGCTGCTGGGACCACCACCAGAAATACATGGCGAGGCCTTCGTATGCCAGTACTTATTCTAAAAAAAAGTTTGTTAAATTTCCTGATGCTCTCTCAGATATTTCCAAGTTTCTGGTTTGAGATAATTTTCAAGATACTGTTTCATTCCCGCTCCACTGAAAATTAGTTTTGGGCACCATAACCTGAATTTGGTTATCAATACTATTGAATCGGGTGTCGCAGCGTTGCGAAACATAATATCGTGGTCGTTGGCTAATTGAATCAAAATGGCCATTTTTATGTTTGGGTGTAGGTTATTTTTAAAAGCGGCAAAATAGCTGTAAATATTCAATGGGATGAATATTTTGTTTTCAGTAGTATCATCTATTAATATTTTAGGCAATCCGTATCCTTGGCTATACAAAGCTTGCGCGAACCTCGGCTCTGCTGTTCCTGTGCTTGTGTCCAAATAAAAGGAAATGTCTTTGGCGACTGTATTGGCGTATTCTTTCGTATATTTCAAAAGTGATGAAACATGTGCACTTTCATTGGCTTTTGTATTATTATAAACAGTAATGCCATTGCACTCAACTAATATTTCTCTAATGAAAGTGGGTCCATTTGTCGTTGTTGAAAACGTATTTACATTATCTGTGCCGGCCGTAATCCTAGCACCATCCTGGTCTTGATCTAGTTCCAATAGCTTGAAATTGACCTCCAAATAACCATTATACCAATCTATGGGGTTAGCATCTGAGCTATTATTTACAACAAAGAGATAATTATCCTTGTTTGCCAATTATTTGCACCAACATTCGCGTTCAGAGCTGTTTGCAGGTCAAAATCTGAATATTCATACCGCTTCACAAATTCAGGGCTTCTAAAATTACCGTTCATTATATTATATGGTTAGATAAAAATGATCATGAAAGTAAATCACTGTAAATTTCTTTTATATCTTTATATTTATCAGTATCTTGGCTTTGTTGCTGCATAAGATTGATGATTTTATCACCATTAGTTTCATCTGTTGGTTTATTATTATATTTGTTATAAATCTTGTCACCAATCAACTGTCTTGTTTCTTCGCCTATTTTTTCTGACCCCTTTTCTAAGGCTTTGGTGGCAAGTTTCTTGGCTGTTTTACCTGTTAGCTCGCTCCCCACATGTTTGAAAACATCAAATATGCCTTCACCTTGGATGATATATTCACCTGTATCAGGGTTTCTTTCTCTTCGTTCTTCATCCATATATTATAAGTTATATCACACTGATTTCACCACAACTTTTAAAGATATATCTATATCATTCAGATCAACTTCACGGTCTTCATCGTCTGTTAAGTAAAAGGTTACCTCAGATATTACCTTTGTATTTGTTCTATTCCAGAGATAATTCATTGGTATGATTTCAAATGGTAAAGATCTTGTTTTGGTGTTTGTGGAGAAGCTATACAGTATATATGATCTTTGTCCAGAAATTATGGATTCCCTCAAGAGAGAACATCTGATGTATAAATTGTCGATATTATTGCTTATATTTGGAAATTTTGTTCCAAATGCACTTGCTGCCAGTATCTTTGTTTTAAAAAACGCCGGGAGATCTCCAAAGTTTCCACTATTTTTAAAATCAATCCAATAGTTTTTATCTAGTTCTATAAAAACTTTGTAAGTTGTTATATCAAACAATATGTCAATATGTCAAGTTTTTTTTTTAAGCCAGTTTACCTATTCTATTGTGAATGAAACTGTTTATATCTCCATAGTCATAAACCTCATTTGGAAATGTTATTGTTTGCCACGATGAACCCTTGTTTTTTGAAATCTTCAATTTGTTGTTATCATATTCTGACCGTATGTTATGCCAACTGGCAGTCATGCTTCTATGATCTAATGCCAAGTAGTATTTTGCGTTGTCGTCTAAAATTACTTCTGGGGTGAATCTTGTAGTGAAATTACCTGGTTAATTACTCAGGTTTTGTTTTTTTGCATCTATTGATTTAAACACGAACACTTGATGAACGTTCATTATAATATATATTTGTTATATAATTCTTCGTGTAATGATTTATTAATTGCTCCTATACTTAAGAGTTCATCATTTATCTGTGACAAATCATTTTTCAAGACTGGACTATTGTTTCCTGCAATCATTGAACCGATTATTATTTTCATACGATCAGCCATAATACATGACACTTGATCCAACCATTCTCGATTTTCCTAATGATTTGTGTGGCGGCGTATTAGATAGCATATTAAGATCATTGAATATCTTTACCACGTTTATACTGTATTTTGTTTTTGGGTTGAGTCTCTTTGTTTGAAGGTTAATAAGTGATCTGTCTGCATCTGCTTGATATGCTAGTTTTCCATCTCGATAAGCAATTAATTTCATTCTATTCATTAAGGCAGGGGCATGAATGAGAAGGCCCCCATATTGATTATTGGTTATTTTATAAGCATTGCGTTTTGGCTGTTTGTGTCTCCTTATACCTTCACCCATGTATTTTGGAGCTGCTTTAATATGTTCCAATCTTATTAAATAGTCTTTGTAATATGGTAATTCTGTTTTATTGCGATCATAAGCCGTTTTCTTTGTTTTGCTCAATTTTTTCAATGGTTCCCCTTTTTGGTTGAATTGTCTGTAATATAATCTTCTGAACGTTTTATTTTTGCCTTGAATTTTACTATTGCATCAACAACATTTTTTTGTGCTTTAAAAATCTCAGATGGTAAATCAAGACCTTGGTCTTTTAACAAAGTTTTGTATTCATCATTCATACTTCTATCAAGATCGAGAGTAATAGTTTTTTTTTAGCGGTTTTACGTGTACTCGGTTTTTCATCATCTGTATCATCCTCTTTATCCCCTTCATCGTCTGTATCAATCTCTTCCTCCTCTTCATCATCTGTATCAATAAATCCATATTCACTTGTTTTTTTCCCTTCTCAACCAAGTCTGGGTAATGTTTGACCCTCATAAGTTAGTTCCCCTTGGGGGTTATATTCTATTGCCTGAAAAATTCTATCTTGGTTGTCCTTCACTCATTCGATTAATTCAGCCTGTTTTGTTAGCTGTTTCTTTCTGTTGTGCAAAATTGTTGTGCAATTAATGGCTCTCTCAGAGTTTTGAAATAATCACTCATCACAATATCCCGCCCTCCTTCCTTATTTTTTATCTCATTTTTCACTTCAGTAACTGCTCTGGCAATTTTATATTTATCAAATTTCATATCAGCATATTTTCTAATTGTGTGTTACATTATTCAGCTTATCCTTATAAATATGTGTGAAAAAAACACTGATCAAAAATTATTTATATAACATATTTGTATAATGGTGAACAAAATAGGAAACTAAACAACTTTCTAGATGAAGACTATAGGATACTTATAGAGTAAGTGCGGCAAAACGAATACTTTGATGCATATGTTAAGAAAAACCCTTGATTATTATGATAAACTATATTTATACACTTCAAATCAACACCAAGATAAAATACAAGATCTTGCAAAAATAATGGATAAAATACCTGATAAGGCAGGTTATCCTACATTGGAAATTGGATCAGCTGATGATATCAGCTGATGATCTGGTCAATGCGCCAAAAAGAGTGAAAATAAAATAGCCAATCATTTCACAGATGGGCGTCACCATAAAATGAGTCCAATTTATTTGACTCAGAGTTATTATGATGTCACGCAAAAATTGAGTGAGAACTGTAGCCATATGATGCTGTATCCACCAACAACAAAGAACCACTTAAGCCTTATTGTCAAGGAAAACTTGATGGAACCATCTTTATTCAACAAACTTAGCCCTTATAAATTTCTATTTTTAGACGATGAGAATAAAAGTGTGAAAAAGAATTTTGATGAAGTAATCTAATCTATTAATATAATGGGAATATTCAATAATCTTGACAAGTTTTCGAATTTCGACATTTCTGAATACATTAAAAATATTGCCAAACAAATTCAAGCAGGTGGACCCAAGTTGGGTGCAAATAACAACTATGATATAGAAAATAATAAAAAAAAAACTGGTAAATGTTGCTGAAGGTACTGCTTCCAGTGATGCAATAACAAAACATCAACTGGATACAGCACTGATTGATTAACATGATAATGACCAGAATATTGATCTTAAGAATACTTACAATGTAATTAACAGCAAACAACAGAAGTTCAATGAAATGAATGCAAGTAGAAATACCGTAGTGTCTTACGCAGATGTCCGGGATGTGTTTGTGAGCCGTAAGGAATCTGTTTTTCCAATGCAAACTCATTTGGACATGGGAAACAATTATATCTATAATGTCAAAACCCCGGTTAATAATGACCAAGGGGCAAATAAGTCTTATGTCGATCAAAAGGTTGCTAAATCTGGCGACACGATGACTGGTAATCTGAATATGAATGGAAACAGAATATACAATCTACCAACTCCCACGGGTAATGCACAGCCAACACCAAAATCTTATGTTGATACTAACTTTTAAAAACTGTCTGGTGGTAATATGATTAGTAATTTGGATATGAATAAGAAAAAGATTACAAATTTACCATGGCCTGTTCAAAATGGAGATCCTGTTGAGGTGGAATTTTTCAATAAATATACTCCAATAGGCAGCAGAGACGATACTGGCAATTTTTACTTTGATAGGAGATATTTGTATGGTGTTCTGACTAATTATTCGGCAGGGGATTCTATAGCTACAGTTGACTGGTCCAATTGCAAATATCTTCAAAAAAACGGTAGAAATAGCATGACCGGTAATTTATATGTTGGTAACCATAGAGTTATAAATGTGGAGGATCCTGTAGCTGATACAGATGCTGGTAATAAGCAGTATTTAGAGCAATCTCGTATTAAACCCACTCATAAAACAGACCAGTTTGCCAATCTGATGAAGAATAGACTAGAGTGGACTGATATGTATGGTAGCAGTTTTAATATGGTAAAGACTGCTGATCTACTGCGGCATGATGGTGACCCCCATACATATAATCATAAAGTGATATATAAAAATTCGGATGGGAACTTTGATTACAAACTTGGGATACAATACTTTACTCTTCAAAAGTTAAAGATTATACTCTCTGTATTGAGTTCCTTAACACAGATTACCAATTATGGCATAAGAGTGTTGTTTCCATTGATAAAACCACATCACATGGGTTGACTATTGGGCATAGCATAAGTAGAAATTTTAGTCACAAATATGCCACATCCTCGGGGCAAGTGAAATACATGTATTACATCCGTTTCATAGTTAATTTCAAGAAAACCGCAGATTCACCTCCTTACAGTTTACATGTAAAAGTGGACATTGTAACATAGCGCGCGTGCTTGCCCTATAGAAGTCCTATTGAGCCGCTATGAACAAAATCTTTATTTACGCACGCCCGTGCGTAAATAAGATGAAGTGAGCATTTTTTTTTTACCTGGCTGCAAAGTTGTCGTCTTTTAAGCTGCAGTGCAGTTTTCCTTCTCTTTGAAATATGGAAGAAACCAGCGCAAAACTGCCCAATTTTTCTATCGGCATTGACCTTTTAGGTCCTGGTCCAACAAGCAGCAAAAATAAAACCGAATTATAAAAAACTCCCAAGTTGCGTGTTTCGCAAATTTGTCGGAAGACCAGCTGCAGCAAATTTTGGCCGAAAGACATTCACTGGGAACAGAACAGACACCAACTGGTCATCAACAACATTTAAAGGTAAAATTTCTGTTTTTATTGTTGTTTTCAAATTTGCTATACACTTTTGTTATCTCCGGACAATCCGACTGAAGCAGGAACATTTCTCTCACAATAACAACACAAATTGCACAAGAAGACATAAATTTATAACTCACATAAGCAACTGCTGCCAGGTCTTCTCAGGAAGCCGTAATGATCAGCCAATGTTCGTAAATGAATATAAGTTTAAAGAAGGATGACAGTTGTCTTCGCTAAAAACATGTTTTCTGGATTTCGCCGAGCAAATCGTTAACATCTTTTCAGCAAATCCAAACCATACTCCACGACTTCTTACGAACATGTTAGTAGTTTAACTTTAGGTGAACTTTAAGACTCTTTTACCATTGTTTCTGTTTAGTTTTTCTATTGTTCGTTAACGAATAAAGAGGCAAACTTTCTTTCTCAGTTTTACAGAAAGTATATTTTCATGTAAACTTGACGATTGTGGCGTGTTCGTAATCAGCCAATAGAAGCGTTTGTCCTTTCAAACATTACTTGTTCTCCCACAGCATTTGATATTCAGCCCACAAAAGTTGTTTATAATGTGGATCTTAATATGAACCGGAAGAAGATACTAAATGTTGCTTTGGATAAAAACCGTAGTAATAGTGCAGCAACTGTTAAATTAGTCAGAGATCTGGAGGCAAAATTGGGCCCTTATACAAAAAATAATGTGTATAGAGAAGTAACTATAAGCTAACAACGGGAGTAGCAGGTATCACATTCACAGGAATAAATCCTAACAAAACATTTCCCCAAAGGACTATTGCCCATGTCCAGGAGGATGGATTGAGATTAGTAAATCAAACATTGGATTTATCATTATTCAGTAGAATAAACTTCACAATACGTGTTGTTATGGTACTATGGTTGAATAGATCAATGTCTATAAAAACGGATATAAACAATGGAACTTATGAAAACCCCCATTTAATTTATGAACATACAACGAAGAAATTGGTTATGATGAAACTTCTATCACTGTACCAGATAGCTTTAATGGTAAACGAGTTGTGTTTTGGCTAACTAAACAAGGTAGGCCTTCACCAATAGTCAAAGCGTCAATATCTAATTATTCTCTAGTTTAACACAACGTTCAAATTTGGTAGCCACAAATAACTATACATTGAAAATAATGTAACAAGACCCAGTGATCCATAAAGTAATGTATTCCCCAAACTTCTACGACTTTGATTCCGAACAATATCACAAAATAATGATACAAGAGAAATTAAACGGGTCATATATCCTATAAAATTAGAGATTAAAGAGTTGTATAAATACTATCATTATAGATACTGGTGCTACCAGAAGGCGTATAAATACTTTAAGAAACTAAATCTCCTAATAAATATGTCTTCGACTGGTTTGATAGAAATTGGAGCTGTTGCGGGTGGTTTAACTCTTAATCTAGTCGTTCTAGGAAGTATATCCGGCGCTGGTTTGGCACTAAAGACTTTCTCTGAGAGTAAAGATTATAAACGTAAAATTGAGATAAGTAAGTTTGCCTATACAACTTACCAGAAAGTGTTGCTCGATCTTTGAACTGCTCTAAGAGGGGGCTCATTTCATAAAAATGATTTCCTAAGATAGTTGAACATACTTGATGACACCATTACTGATTTTTGTTCATTGGTGACGAAATTTGAAAAACAATATGGGAAACAGTTCATGTTCACTCCTACTAACCCTAATCAAAATCCTCCTTGATGAGATTATAGATTTGTGCCCAACAATCAACATACTACTTCAATGTCTTCTTTCATTTTGTAAGTGGGATGAATGTATATTTTATTCTTAAGCTGCCAAGATGCTTTCTTATCCTGTGTATATTCGCATAAAAATCCACAAACTCATTCGCTGATCTATACCCGTCGACAGAACCACAATTAGTACATACTCGCTTGAAACCGTCTATGATTATATTTGGGCCCCCACAGTACCTTGTTTCTATACTTTGTATTTCCTCCGATTGCTCATCGCAAAAATGGGCATTGCACCAGATTCTCTTCATTCAATAAATACATATGCACTTTTCCACAGTTCATCTATATATATAATACAGAATATCTTTTTAAATGTTTTTATGTCCATACGCATAATTAGATATTCCATCCTCAAGTATATATCTCTTCTCGTCAAAACAGCTTGTATTTATTGTGCGCATCAGCTGTTTGCCATTCCTTAGAGTATCTCTGTAGTTCTCATGTGTGATGCTCTTCTTTATGACATCCTTTTTGACTCCTTTACATGTCTTTTCATTCTTACCGTTGTCTTTAACGTAACTGTACATTTTACTTTTCAACCCGATAAATTCTCTGATTGGCATGCCGGCCGCCTCATCTTTGAATTTACCGATTACTTTCTTGGCTGGATCGTGAAATGGGCTTTCTTTGGGGTAATCTGAGTTGCCAAACTTGTCTTTGTCTGCCCGAAAGTCTTTGTATGCATTCTTTGTTGTAATTTCATAACGGAGCGAATCTCTGTCTGTAAATCCCAGCTTGGCTCTAGACCCATATTTCTTCTTGATGTAGTTGTAGTGAAAGTCATACATCAGAGTCTTGCTCAAGTCCAAAATACACATTCCAACATAAGCTGGCCGGTTCAACACCAAACATTCTNTCTGATTGGCATGCCGGCCGCCTCATCTTTGAATTTACCGATTACTTTCTTGGCTGGATCGTGAAATGGGCTTTCTTTGGGGTAATCTGAGTTGCCAAACTTGTCTTTGTCTGCCCGAAAGTCTTTGTATGCATTCTTTGTTGTAATTTCATAACGGAGCGAATCTCTGTCTGTAAATCCCAGCTTGGCTCTAGACCCATATTTCTTCTTGATGTAGTTGTAGTGAAAGTCATACATCAGAGTCTTGCTCAAGTCCAAAATACACATTCCAACATAAGCTGGCCGGTTCAACACCAAACATTCTTTTATCTTATATACTTCTATCAAATCATTACCAAAGTCTCTTTTATTCACATACGTTAGCCATCTTTAAAAACTTCTTTTTGTCTGACACAAGATGTACATCCACACGTTTGCGCAGATTTTACATTGTTTTACCAAATACTGAATTATTCATCAGCTTAAAAAAGTCCTTCTCAAAACTGTTCTGTGCTGCCATCCTCTTCTTTGTGTTGTAATCTATGTACTGAGCCAGCCATGGGCTCTCGTCGAATTCCAGTGCTTTGTGTATCTTCTTAAGCTTGAGGCCAAGTGACATGTATAGTTGCAGATTTCTATAGGGTAGCACGTCCTTTTCTTTGCCTGCCATAGTTGGAATCAGTTTTGATACCTGACCAATAGATACATTGTACTTGTCCCGTATTTCCTTGCAGTATGATGACAGCATGTCTTTGGTTACCTTCATTTTTTCTGGTGCGCATGGATAGTCATTGGGCAAATCATGAAGCTCCTCTGGGTATTCCAGATCTACTTCCAATATCAACCCCTTTTTGCTGTCATCTGGTATTGATGCCAAATCCAATCCACTGATTTTCTTGTCTGGCAGCTACTTGAATCCAGCAGTTGGCAGGTATTGGCTCATGGCCCACCCACACAGATTGTTGGCAAGGTACATTTTGTACTTGTTTGGTTTCTTGGCATTATATCCACTCAGATATAGGTTGTTGGCTTCCAAATGCTGGTTTGCAGTGTACGAAATCCGGCCACGCATGCCTTTTTTTTTATGAGCTGAAACATGTCGACATCTGTCAGTAACTCCAGCTTAATTCCTGTCATTTTGAGCATTGCACTCCAAGTAAGTCCTGGACTTGTAAAACAATGTGCTGGATCTAATTTGTAGTACTGAAGACATGTCTGACGAAAGTTCTCAAATACATTCGCCAAGAGCAAAATGTCACTCCTCAAACACAGATCATGGTAATCTCCCATTGTTTTTAATCCAAAAGTATTCCAGACTTGCTGTGCATGATTATATTGCTCTTCAGAGATCCCCTCATTTGTCAGTATGTTAAAAAATTCATCTTTGGCTGGAAACTCTTGGCAATTAAACTTCTCAACACTGTCCATAAAATCATATGGGTATACGCCTTTTTTCTGCACCAATGTTCGTTTCTCATCTTGGAATACTTGGCTGGTATATTTGAATTTTTCCGATGGCAAATTTGCTGCCAGTCTGTCCAGACTTGATGCCATAAACTGAAAGCTGTCAATAATTTATAAATACCAGATTTTGACTCAACATGAAAGCCATGTATCGCTCCATATTGTTGGGGATGCAGTTTATGTTCAAATTCTTCTCCGTTCCAATCTTACAAATCTCCTGCATCATAAAATGAGCATCATAACCAACGCCGATCGTGAAATATTACCGGAATTTTGACATTAATTGGGTTTAAACGTAGCTTCAAATTACAATCCTGATGTGCACTTCCACGGTATTTGCCTGTTACATGGCAATGATCTCTGACCCTAATATCTTTGCCTGTATATTGCTGACCACAAATGTGGCACACCTCTGCGGCTTTAAACATCTCCTCCTCATAATCAGACATTACCAATGGCTTTTTGAAATGTTTCCACATTGTGGTCTTGCAATATTCCACTTGTTCAAGCATCTGGTGTAAAAGCTTATTAACTGGCTCCTCGCCTCTGTATATCTGTTCTGGTTTTGGATATTTGTCATCATAACGGCACGCAACTCTATACCCATAGATACATGCTGTATGGTGTTTATATTTGTCTGTGTATGATTTTTCTTTATTTGGCTGGCATCCTGACACTTTTTCAGTAATCGCCTCAAATTCCGCATAAATGACAAATGGAACGGGCATCTGTCTGTGATGATCTTTAAACTCTATTTTGCTGCCTTTTTTGGCATCTGAATACCCTGAGTACCATTTATACTCAAGAAATTCTCCTTATGTTTAGTTAATATTTCTTTAGAGCTAAATGCTTGCAGACAATGAATGCAAAAATGCTTTGTATCTTTATGTTTTGTTTTGTTATGCATCAAACTATTAAAACTTTTGATAAGGACATAATGCTGTTTCTCTCCATCTGATATCAGCAATAGGTTCATGGCTGCCAGTATTTACAAAGATTGGGTAAAATTGCTTGTTCTCATACCCGAAAATATTAACATTTATGTAGTTTTGAACCTCAATTCTGCTATAATGTTTGTCAGTAAAGTCCACACCACTGTAATCATAATTATCTACTAACAATCTGTCCTCCTTTTTTTATCTGTTGTGGGTCCTTTTCTTGTGGATTGAAATGTCGGATATGGCACCAACGGAAACACTCATTGTCCTTATTTTTGGCATTTACCAGGCCATATTTTGGATTTTTAAGCTCTGGTGGTAAATCTATCCAACTACTTCCTTCCAATGGGTTATACTTTGCTATGTTAATATAGTGCCTATGAACCTGGACAATAACCTAGTGACTACCTTCAGACATTATATTTCAGGCCTTTTTCAATATTTCCTCTTGTGCTAACTGCACACTTTCTTGAATAGAACTTCTGTTGGTAACTATATGTGGTTTGCTATCACAGTACTTCCGCTTGTGCTCATTTTTAACATCAACTGTGCGCCTACTAAATTCAGTTTTAAGGGCTTCCGAAAACTTAAATCCACCCATTTCACGAAGAAAATTCCCAAGGAATCGTTGAACTTCTGGTTGTGTTTCTTGCAACTGAATCATAGGATCAAAACCCCAATTACTATACTACTTGCCTCATTTTATTGTGGTGATTTACATTTGTATGAAAATAAAAATAGCCTTTGAAACTTGGAAAATAGTTGGAAGAGCGTTATTATTTAAACTTGGGTGAAAAGGAGCCCATTCTCAACTCTTAAAACGCACAAATGCAATTAACAGAGCTCCAGCACAGGGCACGCAACAACGGCTTCGTCCTATTTTGAGGGAAGGATCACGTCACACACTAAAAAAAACAGGTATTTTGAAGGATTTCCACTGACAGCCTCGCCTCCATGTAGGCCATTTTGGGGCCTGCGCAGTATTGGTGTCAAGTGGTGAATTTGGATTGGCTCCATTTCAAAAATAAAGTTTCATGCTTTTATCATAAAAGGGAACAACTCCCTATATTTTTGGCGATAACAGCTGGACTAATTTGGTTACAGCGTTACACCAAAAATCCCGGCCTGGGTTCAATCTTGACAAATGCTACAAGTGTGGCTGTTGTTTTAGAACTGATCTAAAAGGAAAAGCCACATATTTGTAAACTACACAGGTAAGAGTTTATTGAATTGACTCAAGATGAAGGTAGAAGATTAAAAGGCCTGATCAAGAGCCATAATGGGACAGAGACGGAAACGCCGAGTCTAGCCCTTGGAATATGTAAATTTCACCAAAGTTATTTTTAGACCAATTAAACGCTTGAATTAATCGGAAACTGGTTTTCAGAGAAGTCCGCAAACTTAATGCAGCACTGTGTAGAAACATTGGCGTACGGTGGAGGTGCGTTTCATCGACGAAAGGGATTTTGTCAACAAAGAAAATGGTTTTATCGTGAAAGATTGTCCCGATTGGGAGCTAGATTCCATGATTTCGTTGGAGTTGACTGACTTGCTAGATGATATATCAATTTTTTAGGAGGAATTGAAGTCCGTGGACAGCGATAATAATCGTGAAATTTTCAATTTCGGTACAGGAACGTCGGCCGGAAGAAAAAAACAGCAGCAAAAAGCAAACAGAGGAGTGGGAATAATCGTCGCACAAAACAATCAAAGCAGTCAAACGTCATTTTCATTGAAGCGACGTCGACACGCAAAAATCGAAAACTCTAAAGTGCAAGCAAATCACAGCAGAAATCAAAACAGGAAAGCAGCAAAGTAGCCTGCGAACAGCAGACGTATTTCTGGTCGTCGCCTCTCTCCCTCCGAAAAATAACGTCTGCGAACCCGAGCGACAAAAACCTTTTTAGCCAATCACGGTTTAGCTCTTAAAATCAAGGAACTAACTCGCGAGACTTCTCGCAAGATCGTGCGCGGTGGATATGTTTTCAAGTCGAAATTGAAAGCATGAAAGGACGACGTAGCTTATGTGTATAGCCGCCCTTTTTCCTCAGAAGACACGTTTACGAAAGTTAATTTGCCATGATTGTGGGACGAATTGATGAAATAAGCATCAAGAGGATTCATATTGAAGAAAAGATTAGAGGACATTTGTTATCTATTGGCCTACGGAGTCAATGATTTATCACACCTACTTGTTTTGATCATATTCGAAACGATAAATGTCTTAATGACAGTAGATACATCATGCCGTTTGTTGCTTCTGTTCCTTTCTGGTTCCTAGTAGGTATGCTTTCCTCGGAGAACGGTTCGATAGTTTGTTGTGTGCCGCTTTAGATATTTTTAGTAGATATCCTTTATCTTTGAAAGCTAGGACATGTAGTAATTGATTTCCCATGCGTGGTTGCTTCTTGGTTCAGACAGAACTTTGATCAGATCGATTTGTTCTGATATTTCTTTAAATACATGTAAATGTTCTTTCAAGTTTTAATTTCCATAGTTTTTTTATAAGATGAGTCGTTGTGTCGTAGCTGAAATATCATCTTGACTATGATCAATTTATTGCTGTAACTACTTATTTCACGCTGGGTCTGGCCCAGGTTTATAATATTTCAGATCGTTGTTTTGTGGCGATACTTGAATTATTAACGAGCGATTGTCAGAGATATCTGAATCGGTCAAGGATGTGTCTGTATAATTGATTCACAACCTTTTGTCATCGCTAGTTAAATTGAAATAGACTAGTCTGAGCGCGATGCCATTAAGCTATGTTACTTTCCTTTCGCAGTAGCGATTATTTTGTCCAGGTTTTGTTTATGTCACGTGCCACCGTATTGTTTAAAGCGAAACCAATTAGGCCCACATCACGTACATACCTTAAAAAGTAGTTACTTCATAAAGAAGTCAGCATTCAACGTCTCAGGAAACCGTGTTATGGTCGTGAAATTCACGTTC